AAGGATGCAACTTTTTATAAGGAAAAAAAAGATATACTTTTGCATTATAGACCTTATAACAACCTCCCTCACTACAGGGAGCAGCGTCTGCAGTCCGAGCTCTAGTCCCCTCCCTCACCTCTGATCACGATCTTTGGGTAACGACCGAAAGGACGAGATTGTGGATCAGAGAGAGTTACACAGGAGGAGCCTGTAAGGAGCAGAGCCGCTGCTCCTTACAGGGTGTGAGGAGTTAGGTGGCTCGGGCAGCAGTGTGGGATGCAAGACATTCACTGTTCCACAAAACAAGCGACAAAAGACCTTTTACAAATGAAACAGTCTGTAGTTTATAGAAGTTAGTGACTGCTGCAGTGGTCACTCCACACTGTACTCCAACAACATTATATAATGTCCATGGTCTCTCTCTTTGGTCTCTCTATTTGGTCTCTCTCTCTGGTCTCTCTCTGGTCTCTCTCTTTGGTCTCTCTATTTGGTCTCTCTCTCTGGTCTCTCTCTGGTCTCTCTCTTTGGTCTCTCTATTTGGTCTCTCTCTCTGGTCTCTCTCTTTGGTCTCTCTCGCTGTTCTCTCTGGCTGGTCTCTCTGGTTTCTCTAGTCTCTCGCTAGTCTCTCTCTCTGCTCCCTTTCTGGTCTCTTTGGTCTCTCTCTCTCTCTGGTCCCTCTCACTGGTCTCTCTCTGGTCTCTCTCTGGTCTCTCTCTCTGGTCTCTCTGGTCTCTCCTTCACATGGTTAGATATCATATAAAGTGCGTATGAGTGTTTTACAGCCGTTTATTGCTTGTTGCTGGTTATATTGTAGAACACATCACTCCTGCGATGAACCAGGGACCACTGTGTTTCTGGTCTGGTTTCTGGTCTCAGTCTCGTACCGTGTTAAAGCTGGTGAATGTGAAACAACAGTCCTAGTCTTTTAGTTTCTATCACTCGTGTCAACATTAGGACATTTTTGATAATATTGTAAAACATCTCTCACATGCACTTCTGTCATTCTCCACCTTCTCTTTTCTTTCTCACGCTGTTTTTCAGACGATGGTTCTAAGTTTGGACACCAGCGGAGCCTCCCGATTCGCCGTTCTCTGACCTTTCTGAGTAAGTTAAAAATTACACTATTGTGAAAGTTTATGGGAATATTGCAAGTAGTGAATCTATTATTAAAACAGACGTAGGTCTCTAAGTATGCTGACCCAAGGTTTTCCTTTTACACTGGAAATATACAGTTATATCTGCTCTGCTCTGCTCTCACATTAGCACCAGCTCGGCCTGGATAGAACCAGAACCAAGAGGGACTAAAGAAGGACACACTCCCAATCAGGGGAGTACAGTAGAGAACAGTACAGTAGAGTACAGTAGAGAACAGTACAGTAGAGTACAATACAGTACAGTAGAGTACAGTACAGTACAGTAGAGTAGAGTAGAGTACAGTACGGTAGAGTAGAGTACAGTACAGTACAGTAGAGTACAGTAGAGTAGAGTACAGTACAGTAGAGTAGAGTAGAGCTGGTGTCCCTTCTGTCCCTGAATAATAATTCTATCATATGTTTTACACGTGCAAACTCAGGTTATCGCTGGTTCTATAATTCTACTGGTTTTTGCTGGTTCTACAGTTCCACATTAAACACATGGTACAGTCTCAGGGGGAGTTGCATAGTCGTCGAAACAAAGGAAGTGTAATAATCCATAGTAAATGCAAAGGCCGTCTCCATGGTAACGCTCACTTGCACAGCGAGCTGGCGTCCAGGTTGTGGAAGCGGAGGCTCATCTTGTGTTCGATGTCGAAGCCACTGAGCAGCTGCAACAACAACAGGTTATTGACACAGTCCGGGACAGTCTTCCTGAAAATAACAGACAGGCTTCTACTCTGCTGCGGTGACACCCCCTCTGCGGCGGTGACACCCCCCTCTGCTGCTGTGACACCCCCTCTGCTGCTGTGACACCCCCTCTGCTGCTGTGACACCCCCTCTGCTGCGGTGACACCCCCTCTGCTGCGGTGACACCCCCTCTGCTGCGGTGACACCCCCTCTGCTGCTGCACTTTACTGTTGTTAGCAACTAATAGAATTATGTTTTTATTTGTTTTTGTGGATGTGTTTCTGCTGCTGGACACAAGATCTGTCTGTCTGTCTGTCTGTATGTCTATCTGTCTGTCTGCCTATCCATCTGTCTGTATGTCTATCAATCTGTCTGTCTGTGCATCTGTCTGTCCGTCTATCCATCTGTCTGTCTGTCTGTGTATCTGTCTGTCTATTTATCTGTCTGTCTGTGCATATGTCTGTCCGTCTATCCATCTGTCTGTCTGTCTGTGTATCTGTATGTCTATCAATCTGTCTGTCTGTGCATCTGTCTGTCCGTCTATCCATCTGTCTGTCTGTCTATCTGTCTGTCTATTTATCTGTCTGTCTGTGCATCTGTCTGTCTGTCTATCCATCTGTCTGTCTGTCTATCTATCTGTGCATCCATCTGTCTGTCTGTCTGTGTATCTGTCTGTGCATCCATCTGTCTGTCTGTCTGTCTATCCATCTGTCTGTCTGTCTGTCTATCAATCTGTCTGTCTGTGTATCTGTCTGTCTGTGTATCAATCTGTCTGTCTGTGCATCTGCCTGCCTGTCTGTCTGTCTGTCTATCAATCTGTCTGTCTGTGTATCTGTCTGTCTATCAATCTGTCTTTTCTGTGTATCTGTCTGTCCGTCTGTGCATCTGTCTGTCTGTCTGTCTTTCAATCTGTCTGTCTGTGCATCTGTCTGTCTGTCTGTCTATCAATATGTCTGCCTGTCTATCTATCAATCTGTCTGTGTATCTGTCTGTCTATCAATCTGTCTGTCTGTGTATCTGTCTGTCTGTCTTTCTACCAATCTGTCTGTCTGTGTATCTGTCTGCCTATCCATCTGTCTGTCCGTTTGTCTGTCCGTCTGTGCATCTGTCTGTCTTTCCATCTGTCTGTATATCTGTCTGTCTGTCTATCAATCTGTCTGCCTGTGTATCTGTCTGTCTGTGTATCAATCTGTCTGCCTGTGTATCTGTCTGTCTGTGTATCTGTCTGTCTTTCAATCTGTCTGTGTATCTGTCTGTCTTTCTGTCTGTCTATCAATCTGTCTGTCTGTGTCTGTCTGTCTGTCTATCAACCTGTCTGTATGTCAATCTGTTTGTCCGTCTATCTATTTCCCTCTCTCTCTATCTCTATCAGTCTCGCTTTCTATCTATCTATATCCGTCTCTTTTTCTCTATATTTCAACAATGTCATACTGTGGTGATGTCACACGGTGGTGATGTCACACTGTGGTGATGTCACACTGTGGTGATGTCACACTGGTGATGTCACACTGTGGTCTATTCTCATCAGATACAAACCTTAAAGAAATGATCAAATGTAATTCCTTCATAAAACTCGTCCGGCTCCTGAAAAAACAGAAAAAGAGGTAAAAACTTTGATCAAAACGAAAACCTGGACCACAGAAGATCCTCACCATGTGACCCACGGAGATACTCGCCACCTCCAACATGGCGGCGTCTGCGATACTCTTCGCCGTCTCCTTCCCCAGAGCGCCGCTACGAGACAACAGCTCCTCCACCACCTGCACCCAGCACCGCCTCAGTCCTGGGTCTACAGCCTCAGTCCTGGTTCTACAGCCTCAGTCCTGGTTCTACAACCTCAGTCCTGGTTCTACAGCCTCAGTCCTGGATCTACAGCCTCAGTCCTGGTTCTACAGCCTCAGTCCTGGGTCTACAGCCTCAGTCCTGGGTCTACAGCCTCAGTCCTGGTTCTACAGCCTCAGTCCTGGTTCTACAGCCTCAGTCCTGGGTCTACAGCCTCAGTCCTGGTTCTACAGCCTCAGTCCTGGGTCTACAGCCTCAGTCCTGGATCTACAGCCTCAGTCCTCAGTCCCAGACGATACATTACATCACATGTCACACTGTGGTGATGTCACACTGTGGTGATGTCACACTGTGGTGATGTCACACCGTGGTGATGTCACACTGTGGTGATGTCACACTGTGGTGATGTCACACTGTGGTGATGTCACACCGTGGTGATGTCACACCGTGGTGATGTCACACTGTGGTGATGTCACACTGTGGGGATGTACATTAGAATGTTGTGATCTCACATGTCTGTACTCCTGCAGCGTTATCGTTCCATCGTTGTCGCTGTCGTGCATGTTGAACAGAACTGAAACACAAACAAGCAGTGAACAAGAACAGAGGAGAGTAGAAAAAGAGTAGGGTAGACTGGAGTAGACAAGAGTAGAGTAGAGTAGAGTAGAGTAGAGTAGAGTAGGGTAGAGTAGAGTAGAGTAGAGTAGAGTAAAGTAGAGAGTAGAGTAGAGTAGAATATAGACTAGAGTGGACTAGAGTAGAGTAGAGTAAAGTAGAGAGTACAGTAGAGTAGAGTAGAGTAGAGTAGGGTAGAGTAGAGTAGAGTAAGTGGTGCTCACATCTGAGCTTGTCTCTCCTCACGCTCTCTCGCTGCTCCTCTGTCAGACTGTGACGAGGAGGTCTGAAGTGTGACATCACAAGCACAAACTCCTCGAACCCCACCTCCTCCACAGTGCCCTCCGCGCTCCTGCAGAAGTTCCTGCAACACAACAACACAATTACATCACAACACCAACACAATGACAACACAACAACAACAACACGATGTAACACAACACAATAACAACACAATTACAACACAACAACAACACAACGACAGAACTACAGAGTGGGGACTTGTATGTTGTGAGAGAGGTGTGTGGTCAGGGAGGGATTATTCCTCTGTCTCTGCTGATCACATAAACACCTCCTCTGTTGATCACATAAACACCTCCTGCTGATCACATAAACACCTCCTCTGTTGATCACATAAACACCTCCTGCTGATCACATAAACACCTCCTGCTGATCACATAAACACCTCCTCTGTTGATCACATAAACACCTCCTGGTGATCACATAAACACCTCCTGCTGATCACATAAACACCTCCTCTCTGCTGATCACATAAACACCTCCTCTCTGCTGATCACATAAACACCTCCTGCTGATCACATAAACACCTCCTCTCTGCTGATCACATAAACACCTCCTCTCTGCTGATCACATAAACACCTCCTGCTGATCACATAAACACCTCCTCTGTTGATCACATAAACACCTCCTGCTGATCACATAAACACCTCCTCTGTTGATCACATAAACACCTCCTGCTGATCACATAAACACCTCCTCTGCTGATCACATAAACACCTCCTCTCTGCTGATCACATAAACACCTCCTCTGCTGATCACATAAACACCTCCTCTCTGCTGATTACATAAACACACTGCAGCAGGAGGGTGTGCTCCGTCATCTGCTCTGGGGATCGACAGCTGATAGAACTGTGTCCTGAGCCCTTTCATCCCCAGGGGGCGCTCTGACACACAGTGGCCACATCACTGCGTCACTGAGAGTCCGGGATGTGTGCTGTTTAAAGTTAGGGACCTGAGCTTTAAAGGGTGTTCCTCATGTTTATAACAGAGTGATACCTCCTGTCGAAGAACGCCTCAATGATCTGTGCACGGATCGGGTTACACGCCAGATCCGGGATCGCACTCAGGTCCTCCCTCCTACAGAAACAGGTTTGACAGGTTTACAAAGACCAGAGAGAGACCAGAGAGAGACCAGAGAGAGACCAGAGAGAGACCAGAGAGAGACCAGAGAGAGAGACCAGAGAGATCAGAGAGAGACCAGAGAGAGAGACCAGAGAGACACCAGAGAGAGACCAGAGAGAGACCAGAGAGATCAGAGAAAGACCAGAAAGAGACCAGAGAGAGACCAGAAAGAGACCAGAGAGAGACCAGAGAGAGACCAGAGAGAGATCAGAGAGATCAGAGAGAGACCAGAGAGTGACCAGAGAGAGAGACCAGAGAGAGACCAGAGAGAGACCAGAGAGAGACCAGAGAGAGACCAGAGAGAGACCAGAGAGACCAGAGAGACCAGAGAGAGACCAGAGAGAAACCAGAGAGAGACCAGTGAGGGACCAGAAAGAGACCAGGGAGAGACCACAAAGAGACCAGAGAGAGACCAGAGAGAGACCAGAGAGAGACAGAGAGAGACCAGAGAGAGACCAGAGAGAGACCAGAGAGAGACAGAGAGAGACCAGAGAGAGAGACCAGAGAGAGACCAAAGAGAGACCAGAGAGAGACCAGAGAGAGACCAGAGAGACCAGAGAGACCAGAGAGAGACCAGAGAGAAACCAGAGAGAGACCAGTGAGGGACCAGAAAGAGACCAGGGAGAGACCACAAAGAGACCAGAGAGAGACCAGAGAGAGACCAGAGAGAGACAGAGAGAGACCAGAGAGAGACCAGAGAGAGACCAGAGAGAGACAGAGAGAGACCAGAGAGAGACCAGAAAGAGACCAGCAAGAGACCAGCGAGAGAGCAGAGAGAGACCAGAGAGAGAGACCAGAAAAGGACCAGAGAGAGAGACTAGAAAAGGACCAGAGAGAGACCAGAAAAGGACCAGAGAGAGACCAGAGAGAGACCAGAGAGAGACCAGCGGGACCGGAGTGATGTCACACTGGTCTGACAGGTTTATAGCACAGCTTCAGACAGACCCCAGACCCTCTCACTCAGACAGAGGTCTCGCTCCTTGTTTGGACTCGTACCGGAGAGAATCCTGGTTGTGGCTCAGCTGCTTGAAGCGTTTGTGGAGCACCGCGATCTGCTCGAAGGAGACTGTAAACAAAGAGGAGAGCGTGAGAGCCGCCTGCCGCAGAGGCCGCATCAGCAGACCCCGGCGCTGCGGTGGAGCCTCGTTTGAATACAGCACATTCAGCTTCTGTCGGGACTGTTTTTGAAAGAACAAGAGATAGATTCAGTGTTGATCCCTGTCCAGTGAGCAGCAGAAACACATCCATCCAAACAAAGAAAACAAATACATAAATATAGAATTCTAAAAGTAACTAATATTAATATTAAAATACAGCAGTCCTTCAGGTCACAGCAGCAGAGGTGGAGCCGCTTGGTTCAGACCATTTTCTCTGCTCTGGTCCAAAGTAAAAAGCTAAATGCTTCATTAGCATTTTTGTTTTAAAGTTAGCATTCCTCCAGTGGATTTTTGCCTGATCCACTTGGTTCGGACCATGAATCCTCTCTGCTCTGGGTTGGACCAGTGTAAAACCATGAACTGCAGCAACATCTCAGGCAAAAAAAGCAAGAAAAAATAAATAAATAATCGGTTTAATATAGCACTCAAAGACGCTTCAGTCCATCCAAACACTGTGGTGATAAACTACTACTGTAGCCACAGCTGCCCTGGGGCACACCGAGGGATACAAGGAAGCCAGTCTGTGCCATCGGCCCCTCCCACCACCACCAACCATTCACACACACACCAGACTCATTCTAATGTGGGGGAAGTGTCTCCCATCATAGCACTAACCAGGCCCTGCCCAGCACAGCTACAGAGGTCTAGCGTGATCTAGCTTTTGCATGAAGGTACAGCTTCAAATTGGCAAGTAGTGTCTTGCCCAAGGACACGGCAGACATCAATAGAAGTCGATCTACCAACTGAGCCACTGCCCCAATAACATTTGTACAACTCAAAACAACAACTGTTTATCATTGTTACAAAACAGCTTTAAAACACTTTCACTCATGTCTCGTGAGGACTAATCTTTAAAGATGCATAAAGTAAGATGTTCATGTCAAGTCCTCATTAAAGGATAATGGGACACTTGTGAGCTGGTCTCCCCCAAACAGGATTCATGGGCTGCATCCCAGATCTACAGCCTCAGTCCTGGGTCTACAGCCTCAGTCCTGGGTCTACAGCCTCAGTCCTGGATCTACAGCCTCAGTCCTGGGTCTACAGCCTCAGTCCTGGATCTACAGCCTCAGTCCTGGGTCTACAGCTTCAGTCCTGGGTCTAGAGCCTCAGTCCTGGGTCTAGAGCCTCAGTCCTGGGTCTAGAGCCTCAGTCCTGGGTCTACAGCCTCAGTCCTGGGTCTAGAGCCTCAGTCCTGGATCTACAGCCTCAGTCCTGGGTCTAGAGCCTCAGTCCTGGATCTACAGCCTCAGTCCTGGGTCTAGAGCCTCAGTCCTGGATCTACAGCCTCAGTCCTGGGCAGCCTCTGATCTGTTGGGACATGTATTTGTAAATGAAGCAACAAAAGCAGGTGAAAAGTATTGTCCCCAGAGCTGGATCTGCGCATGCTCAGTGTGTTTGTGTCTCATTGTCAGAGAGAGGAAGAGGAAACACTTTACTAATAAGAAGCTCGACATAAACACTAGTGCAGACCTGTCCCATCCTGGTCCTGGTACTCACATCCAGTCTGCTCGGACAGATCAGAGTACTGCGTCTGCCCGGACTGCAGGGCGCCCATGTCCCCTATGCGTCAGATCCCGACGTCCACGCAGTGAGGAGGAGTGAGGACGAGTGAGGAGAGAGGAGTGAGGAGGTGGTTTAGTTTTCTCTCTGGACGCCGTGGGTCATGATGTTCACCTGCGGGAATGTACCGAGTGTGAGAGAGAGCCTCATCCCGAGCACAGCGACACTATACTCCCGCTGCTGTGACTGCAGGGGACCGGGGGAGGAGGGGGAGAGAGGGAGGGGTGAGGGAGGAGAGAGGGAGGAGAGAGAGCGAGAGAGAGAGAGAGAGAGAGAGGGAGGGCAACAGGAGGGTAGAGAGAGAGAGGGCATCAGGAGGGGAGGGGAGAGAGAGAGAGCAACAGGAGGGGAGGGGGAGAGGGCAACACGGAGAGAGAGAGAGAGAGGGCAACAGGAGGGGAGGGAGAGAGAGAGAGAGAGAGAGGGCAACAGGAGGGGAGGGAGAGAGAGAGAGCGCAATACGAGGGGAGGGGAGAGAGAGAGAGAGAGGGCAACAGGAGGGGAGGGAGAGAGAGAGAGAGAGAGAGGGATGAGAGTGCAACAGGAGGGGAGGTGGGGAGAGGGCAACAGGCCGAAAGGGGAGGAAGGGGGGGATTGCATTACACCTGAGGGAGAGGAGAGAGAGACGTTTTGAATTATTGAGCATACGAAGGTTGTGGACGATTGCATTACACCCGCCTCCAACAGCAGGGGGGGTGTAATGCAATCGTCCACAACCCCCCCCCCCCCCCCCCCCCCCCCCCCCCCCACGAAGGTTGGGGGGGGGGGGGGGGGGGGGGGGGAGGGGAGAGAGAGAGAAAGAGAGAGAGAGAGAGAGGTAGGTCGGTCCAAGGTGAAGGGATTGGAAGGAGGACGCAGCCTTGGTTTTCCTCCGGGGACAGAGCGGGGGTGACTGTAAGTGTCTTGTTCAAAGACACAACGACATGAGAACCACGGACCCGCGACTTTCAGCTCCGGGGCCACTGCTCTCCCGTCAGAACCATGGCCCTCAGCGCAGACGCAGTACGGACTCTACAATAATAATTCCCTACCTTATGTTTGAGAAAGAGAGACCATGGTGAGAGACGAGTGAGAGAGACCAGGGAGAGAACAGAGAGAGACCAGAAGAAGGGAGACAATTGAGGCATCGAAAGAGAGAGACCAGGGTGAGAGGGATCAGAGAGAGTAAGTAAGTAAGTAATATTTATTTATATAGCACCTTTCACAGACAAAGGTCACGGAGTGCTTCACAAAAAATACAAATATAAATAAAAGTACATTTACATTTACAATCACAAAACATGGTGGTCATAAAACAACCCCTTTCCCACTGGAATTAAAATGCTTTTTCAAACAAGTATGTTTTCAGTTTACACTTAAAAACATCACAATCAAGTAAGCGCAAGGAAAGCGGAAGATCATTCCAGAGCGTCGGCGCGACCACCTGTTAAGGAGCGATCTCCTCTCGTCTTGTAACGGGTACGAGGGACCATGAGAAGGTTCTGATCCTGAGACCTCAGCCTCCGAGAGGGGGTATAAGGACACAACAAGTCTCTAATGTAAGAGGGACCCTGACCATGCAAGGCTCTGAAGGTCAACACCAGGATTTTAAAATTGAAACGAAAAGTGACTGGGAGCCAATGGAGGGCTTTTAGAATGGGAGTAATATGAGCCCGTCTGTTTGTGCGAGTCAGTAACCTCGCCGCAGAGTTTTGTACCTGCTGAAGGCGGGACAACTCCTTAGAGAGAGAGCGAGAGACCAGTGATGGACCAGTGAGAGGGACCAGAGAGAGAGCACAAAGAGAGACCACAGAGAGAGAGAGACCAGGGTGAGAGGGATCAGAGAGAGAGCGAGAGACCAGTGATGGACCAATGAGAGGGACCAGAGAGAGAGCACAAAGAGAGACCACAGAGAGAGAGAGACCAGTTAGAGAAAGACCAGAGAGAGAGAAAGACTAGAGAGAGAGATACCACAGAGAGAGAGAGAGAAACCAGAGAGAGACCAGTGAATAAGACCACAGAGAAAGACCACAGAGAGAGTGACCAGTTATATTCCCTAAATTTTAACAGTTTTTTAAATTATTTTTTTTACCTTCACTTACTTTTGATAAATTCTAAAACTGAAGTGAAATACAGAAAATACAGTTTGTTGAAAGGCAACTAAGAGCAAGTAAACAGTTGCTATGGTAACGTTCAGATATTGTTAAATAACGTTACAAGAAATAAACTAAACAGAAAAACTCTCTGAGCTGCAATAACAACAAAAACCACAAGAGGGCGCCATTTTATAAAGAAAGAGGGACTCAGAGAAACACGGAGGACTTTGTGGAAGAGAAACAACGTCAAAGATTTAACCGAGGACAATTTTATCTGAATATAAACATTTAGACAATTTATGGACTGACACACAGAGAGAGAGACCAGAAAGAGAGAGAGACCAGGGAGCGAGAGAGATCAGAGAGAGAGCGAGAGAGACTAGAGAGAGACCAGAGAGAGACCAGAGCAAGAGAGACCAGAGAGCGAGAGAGACCAGGGAGAGACCAGAGAGAGACCAGAGCAAGAGAGACCAGAGAGAGAGAGAGACCAGAGAGCGAGAGAGACCAGAGCAAGAGAGACCAGAAAGAGAGTAACCAGAGAGAGACCAAAGATAGAGAGACCAAAGAGCGAGCGAACAGAGAGAGAGGGAGACCAGAGAGAAACCAGAAAGAGACCAGTAAGACATCAGAGAGCGACACAGTGGCTGAGTGGTTAGAAGATGCTGGGTTCGAATCCCGGTCTGAACAGGGCCTTTGTGTGAGGAGTTTACATATTCTCCACGTGTCTCTGTAGGTTTCCTCCAGGTGCTCCGGTTTCCCCTACCATTAAAAACATGCACAATAAGTCTGAATGTAATGAGTGAGTGAGAGAGAGAGAGTGTTTGGTCGGAGGCTTTGATGGACATGATGATGATATGAATAGCAATGACTCACTACTCTCTTACTTACAGAGAGAGAGACCGAGAGACCGTAATCGTAGTTTTGATTAATGCAAAATTGTGAGAGGATTTAAACAGTGTCAGTCCGTCTGGATCAATGTCCTGAATAAACATGATTGTCCTTCAGACGTTTGTTTTGGTTTTTCAAATGGATCTGAGTCAATGAGGGAAGAGAGACCAAAGAGAGAGAGACCAAGGAGAGACAAGAGAGAGAGAGACGAGGGAGAGAGCAAGGAGAGAGAGACCAGAGAGAGAGACCAAGGAGAGACAAGAGAGAGAGAGACGAGGGAGCGAGCAAGGAGAGAGACCAGAGAGACCAAGGAGAGACAAGAGAGAGAGACCAAAGAGAGAGAGACCAAAGAGAGAGAAACCAAGGAGAGAGAGACCAAAGAGAGAGAGAGACCAAATAGAGAGAAACCAAGGAGAGAGAGACAAGGGAGACACCAATGAGAGAGTGACCAAGGAGAGAGAGACCAAAGAGAGAGAAACCAAGGAGAGAGACAAGAGAGAGACTAACGAAAGAGAGACCAGAGAGAAACCAGAGAGAGACCAGCAGAGACATACCAGGGAGACAGAGACTAGATAAAGAATGACCAGAGAGAGAGCGACCAGAGGGACACCAGAGAGAAACCACAGACCCCAGAGACAGACCAGAGAGAGACCAAAACGAGATCAGAGAGAGAGACCAGAGAGAGGGACCAGAGAGACACCAGTGAGAGAGACCAGAGAGACACCAGTGAGAGAGACCAGAGAGGAACCAGAGAGAGACCAGAGTTATTTGGGAGAGAGACCAGAGAGAGTTGAGAGAAAAACCTGATAGAGACCAGAGCGAGACCAGAGTGAGACCAGAGTGAGAGACCAGCGAGAGAGAAAAGACTTCTCCACACCAGGACATCTCTTGCTGGTCTGTCTCTATATTTTTTCTCTATGTGTCAAAAACAGAGGGCGACAGCTCAGTTGGTAGAGCATTGGCCTTTGGGCATGAAGGTCGTGGGTTCGAGCCCACCATAAGACCTACTTCACAACTCCCACTGATGACTGCTGTCGTTGTGTCCTTGGGCAAGACACTTAACCCCACTTTGCCTGAAGCCCCCACTGAAAGCTCCTGTGGACTCACCACCTGCAGTAGGATCAGTGAGGGGCTGGTGCTATGTGTATGGGTACAGCTCTGACTGCCACCCCCCAACCCAGAAATGGATTAAGGGGAAGAAAATGGATGTCAAAAACAGACCAAAAAGTCTAAACAACGGTTTAGATTTGAGAGTTTCATTAACTGTCTTTGACCTTTTCCTGTGTTTTCCCGCAGACCTTGAAGGCATCGCAGCAGCTGCCTTTTACTCATTAAACAGATAAATCCCAAGTATTTTTGTTTTTGTGTTGAAACCATGAAGCCGTCCTGTGTTCTGTGCTTTAGAGGCCTTTAATGACTGCTCTCCCTGTGGCACATCCTGAACCATGTGGACCCTCGAGACTCAAGGACCATCGACTTCAAACACAAACCATCAGGGACTTTACACAGAACCTGCTCCAACTGTTGTTACTCACTGGGATTTAAAGGACACAGCCGAGGAGGTTGGAAAACTGAGGTCTCTCTCTGGTCTCTACAGCCCTAAATCACAGCAGATCCAGGACTGAGGCTGTAGATCCAGGACTGAGGCTGTAGACCCAGGACTGAGGCTGTAGATCCAGGACTGAGGCTGTAGACCCAGGACTGAGGCTGTAGACCCAGGACTGAGGCTGTAGACCCAGGACTGAGGCTGTAGATCCAGGACTGAGGCTGTAGACCCAGGTGACCTTCATTGAATATTAGACTGAAGTCCTGGAGAGACAGATCTCCCCTGAGCCCTTTGGGGCTTAAACAGGAAACGTACAGAGACAGAGACTACTTTGAATTTTGGCCCATTCTTCTGCTACAGACTGACATTAACACTCTCCACCTCATTCACATTCACTGCTGTTTCTGAAATGTAGGAGACACTCCCTCTCTGAAAATAACACATTCTTATTCTTACAGCATGACTCCCCCCTCCGTCTCCACAATCCCCCTCCCTCCCTCCCCCGTCTCCCCCCTCCCCCTTGTGCCTGTGTCAGTGTCAGCTCAGAGGTAAACACAGAGATGTGACAGTTTCCTGTGCTCCTGTTTAGTTTGACTCAGAAAACTCCTGTTTCTGACACTGCACCATCTCCTCAAGGAGGCTGTTCTATACCTGTGATACATCTGGTACCTGTGATACCTCTGGTACCTGTCATACATCTGGTACCTGTGATACATCTGGTACCTGTGTGACCTCTGATACCTATGATACTGGGCGGCACGGCGGCTGAGTGGACAGCACTCTCACTTCTCAGCAAGAAGGTCCTGGGTTCGAATCCCGGTCAGAATGGGAACGTTTTTCTGAGTGGAGTTTGCATGTTCTCCCCGTGCAAAAAAACCTTGCACACTTGAGTTGTGTTCCCGGGCGTTGTTACTACGGCGACCACTGCTCCTGACGTAAGCATTAGCAGCATCAGGATGTGTCAAATGCAGAGGAGGAATTGCCCTAAGGGGATCAAAAAAGTGAACCTTTACCTCTGGTACCTGTGTCTCTCCTGTGTCTCTCTCTCTTTTCTCTCTCTCTGGTCACTCTCTGGTCTCTCTCTTGCTGGTCTCTCTGGTCTCTCTCCCTGGTCTATCTCTGATCTCTCTCTCTGGTCTCTCTCTATATTCTCTCTGGTCTCTCTCTCTCTGGTCTCTCTCTCTCTAGTCTCGCTCTCTCTTGTCTCTCTCTCTGGTCTCTCTCTCTCTTGTCTCTCTCTCTGGTCTCTCTCTCTGGTCTCTCTGGTCTCTCTGCTGTCAGCTCGTGTCTGTGCTGCAGTGATGATTCTCTGACAGCAGACTGACACCTGTCACTCAGCGTCACAGGAGAAACCCCCGTGGAGGATTCACTGAAATGTGGCGACATTGAATTATCATCGATACAAAACAAAATTCTACAAAAAATGGACTGAATATTATTTTCTCAGGTCTATAAGAGGATTTTCCCAAATTTTAGAAAAGAACCGCCCTCTCCACTTTTTGAACAAATCTCTCTGATCTTATTGGACGAGCACGTATCACCAGAATGATTGACAGTTGGGACGACCAATCGTCTTGATGAGCCACCCGGAAGTAGACAGTCCTCCTAGAAACATTTAGAAGAAGATTTGCCAATAGATTCTGCCTTTGTGTAGCTCTCTGCCGGTGTGTAGCTCTCTGCTGGTGTGTTGCTCTCTGCCAGTGTGTCGCTCTCTGCTGGTGTGTTGCTCTCAGCCAGTGTGTCGCTCTCTGCTGGTGTGTTGCTCTCTGCCAGTGTGTAGCTCTCTGCTGGTGTGTTGCTCTCTGCCAGTGTGTAGCTCTCTGCTGGTGTGTTGCTCTCTGCTGGTGTGTAGCTCTCTGCTGGTGTGTTGCTCTCTGCTGGTGTGTTGCTCTCTGCCAGTGTGTCGCTCTCTGCTGGTGTGTTGCTCTCTGCCAGTGTGTAGCTCTCTGCTGGTGTGTTGCTCTCTGCCAGTGTGTAGCTCTCTGCTGGTGTGTTGCTCTCTGCCAGTGTGTTGCTCTCTGCTGGTGTGTTGCTCTCTGCCAGTGTGTCGCTCTCTGCTGGTGTGTTGCTCTCTGCCAGTGTGTAGCTCTCTGCTGGTGTGTTGCTCTCTGCCAGTGTGTCGCTCTCTGCTGGTGTGTTGCTCTCTGCCGGTGTGTCGCTCTCTGCTGGTGTGTTGCTCTCTGCCAGTGTGTCGCTCTCTGCTGGTGTGTTGCTCTCTGCCAGTGTGTCGCTCTCTGCTGGTGTGTTGCTCTCTGCCAGTGTGTCGCTCTCTGCTGGTGTGTTGCTCTCTGCCAGTGTGTAGCTCTCTGCTGGTGTGTTGCTCTCTGCCAGTGTGTAGCTCTCTGCCAGTGTGTAGCTCTCTGCTGGTGTGTAGCTCTCTGCCAGTGTGTAGCTCTCTGCTGGTGTGTAGCTCTCTGCCAGTGTGTAGCTCTCTGCTGGTGTGTAGCTCTCTGCCAGTGTGTAGCTCTCTGCTGGTGTGTAGCTCTCTGCCAGTGTGTAGCTCTCTGCTGGTGTGTAGCTCTCTGCCAGTGTGTAGCTCTCTGCCAGTGTGTAGCTCTCTGCTGGTGTGTAGCTCTCTGCCATTGTGTAGCTAGTTGAAGGGAAGAGGTTGGGGACCACTGCTCTAAAGATCTGGGATCGGCTCGTCTCCCTGATCGCTGTGGACACTTCATTCCCAGATTCTTGGAACAATCGCACGGAACTTAATGAGAACCACTCGTTTCTCAGAGCGTTTCCAATCCGCTCGACGTTTCTCCTCCTCTTCCTCCTCCTCTTCCTCTGAGACAGTGCTCACCGTGAAGAGAAAAGATTAGTCACGAGTCACAACAACAGGCACCAGAACCACAGACTGTATACAGATGGACAATGCTAACACAGACTGTATACAGATGGACAATGCTAACCGCTAGTTTAATGAAACCTAATAGGGAAGTGCTCATGGTGAAGTTTGGCGCCTCTCTCTGGCTCCTGTTGACTCACACGTAAATGTAACCTCCTTTAGCTCAGTAACAGTTTGTGTCACACTCACTACACTATACTAATGGTTTAATAATAATAATAATATAATAATTCACTCCGGACACGATGGGGACAAACTACTACTGTAGCCACAGCTGCCCTGGGGCACACCGACGGAAGCGAGGCAACCAGTCTGTGGCATCAGCCCCTCCCACCATCACCAACCATTCACACACACACCAGACTCATTCTAATGTGGGGGAATGTGTGTCTTGCCTAAGGACACAACCACAGATTGGCACTTTACAGCCGTAGAGGTGTTCCCGGAGGTCTCCCATCACAGCACTAACCAGGCCCTGACCATGTTTACAGTTTATTTAAATATGTGCAGTATATACACAGATATATACACACACACACACCACACACACACACACACACACACACACACACACACACACACAGCACAGACTCTGAGGCAGTGTGCTGTGTATGTGTGTTGTTTGGCCCGTGTCAGCTGTCAGGCCTCAGTGATGGATCACCGTCGGCATCATAACGACCTGTAAACAATTAAATCTGAGCCTGAGGCAGCGACAGCAGAGGTGACCTTGGTGGAAGCTCCGCAAACACACACAATATCACAATATCAATACAAGAAGTGTCACAATAAGGCAAGGTTATTCGTACAGCACAGTTCACAGAAGAAGTCAGTCTCACATCTTCAGGAAGACGGCTCCAGATATTCCCTGCATGAAGCTGAAATTCTGCCAAACTTACTCTGGGACCTGCAGGAACTGACACGACCAACGCCGGAAAACTCTAAACAGAAACAGACCAGACCATGGGGAATCATTTACTGTTATTTGTGGAAAACGTGATGATTATTTAAAACATATGTATTTCTGATGATGTCGAGGTCAGCGGAGAAAGAAGACGTCTGTGAACGAGTCGTATTGTTTCTGCGGCGCAGCTTTTACAGGATCATGAGAAATAACTCAGTGTCAGGTTCAAGGACAGTCCGTCTTTACAATTCACTGTTTGTGTCTGATTGTGAATAACCTGCACGAGAGAGAGACCAGGGAGAGACCAGGGAGAGACCAGGGAGAGACCAGGGAGAGACCAGGGAGAGACCAGAGAGAGGCCAGAGAGAGACCAGAGAGAGACTAGAGATAGACCAGAGAGAGACCAGAGAGAGATCAGAGAGAGACCAGAGAGAGACTAGAGATAGACCAGAGAGAGACCAGAGAGAGATCAGAGAGAGACTAGAGAGAGACCATAGAGAGACCAGAGAGAGACCAGAGAGAGAGAGACCAGAGAGACTAGAGATAGACCAGAGAGAGACCAGAGAGAGACTAGAGAGACCAGAGAGAGACTAGAGATAGACCAGAGAGAGACCAGAGAGAGACTAGAGAGACCAGAGAGAGACCAGAGAGAGACCAGAGAGAGACTAGAGATAGACCAGAGATAGACTGTGCTATAAAAACACTGCCTTAATAATGGTTAATATTGGCCTTCCTGGAGTCTTAATGGCCGTGTTGCTGCTGCTGCTGCTGCTCCTGCTCCTGCTGCAGCTCCTGCTACTGCTCCTGCTCCTGCTGCTGCTCCTGCTGATGCTGCTGCTGCTGCTCCTGCTGCTGCTGCTCCTGCTGCAGCTCCTGATACTGCTCCTGCTGCTGCTCCTGCTCCTGCTCCTGCTGCTGCTCCTGCTGCTGCTCCTGCTGCTCCTGCTGCTCCTGCTGCTGCTCCTGCTCCTGCTGCTCCTGCTGCTGCTCCTGCTCCTGCTCCTGCTGCTCCTGCTGCTCCTGCTGCTGTTCCTGCTCCTGCTGCTGCTCCTGCTCCTGCTGCTGCTCCTGCTCCTGCTGCTCCTGCTGCTGCTCCTGCTGCACCTGCTGCTGCTCCTGCTCCTGCTGCTCCTGCTGCTGCTCCTGCTCCTGCTCCTGCTCCTGCTGCTCCTGCTGCTCCTGCTGCTGCTCCTGCTCCTGCTGCTCCTTCTGCTGCTCCTGCTCCTGCTGCTCCTGCTGCTGCTCCTGCTGCTCCTGCTGCTGCTCCTGCTCCTGCTCCTCCTGCTGCTGCTCCTGCTCCTGCTCCTGCTGCTCCTGCTGCTGCTCCTGCTCCTGCCGCTCCTGCTGCTGCTCCTGCTCCTGCTGCTCCTGCTGCTGCTCCTGCTCCTGCTCCTGCTGCTCCTGCTGCTGCTCCTGCTCCTGCCGCTCCTGCTGCTGCTCCTGCTCCTGCTGCTCCTGCTGCTGCTCCTGCTGCTCCTGCTGCTGCTCCTGCTCCTGCTGCTCCTGCTGCTGCTCCTGCTCCTGCTGCTGCTCCTGCTGCTGCTGCTGCTACTGCTGCTGCTGCTCCTGCTCCTGCTGCTGCTGCTGCTGCTCGTTGGTCTCTCACTTCCACAGATGTTTTAATTGGGAGTGAGACGTCATCATCTGCTTTGAGCCTTCGCTGCGTCACTGTTGGAATTTTAATGTTTCTCCACAACAAGAGAAAAGACTGAGGATGACAGGGACGTTATTAATGAGAACAAACAAAGAGAGGGAGAGAGAGAGAGAGAGAGAGCAGAGACAGGAGAGAGCAGAGAGAGAGCAGGGAGAGGAGAGAGCAGAGAGAGAGAGAGTAGAGTGACCAGAGAGAGAGAGAGACAGAGAGAGAGCGGAGACAGGAGAGAGCAGAGAGAGAGAGAGTAGAGTGACCAGAGAGAGAGAGAGACAGAGAGAGAGCGGAGACAGGAGAGAGCAGAGAGAGAGAGAGCAGAGTGGCCAGAGAGAGAGAGAGAGAGAGAGAGAGAGAGAGAGACCAGAGAAATAGACCAAAGAGAGAGAGAGACCAAAGCGAAAGACCAGAGAGAGAGAGATAGTGAGAGCAGAAAGAGAGCTGAGAGAGAGAGAGAGAGACTAGAGATGTGGACACAGGTCTTCAGTTGTGTTTCTCCATTTTCCGGTCCCTGCTCTTTTTCTTTTCTAAATGTGCTTTTTGGGCAAATCCTCAGGACCCAGACCCGGAACCTGGACTCGGAGGCGGTCAGGGTCCAGGGCTCTCACCTCAGAGACCGAGGCCGCTGTAATCTCTCTCTCAGCTGCTCTGAGGCGAGACCACAAACACCAAAACTCTGAAAGAACCGGGACCAAAGCAGGAGTGAAGCTGAGGCAGGATTATAAACAAACCCAGTCCTGGGTCTACAGCCTCAGTCCTGGGTCCGGTGTTGATCTAGTGTTTTGATCGATAGAGGCTCTGCTCTGGTGTTATCAGCTCTGTATCCAGAGATAAGTTCTGTAAAGAGAAGCCGCTCCAGAGGTCAGAGAGAGAAAGAGGACAAAGAGAGACCAGAGCCAGACCAGAGATAGACCAGAGCCAGACCAGAGACAGACCAGAGACAGACCAGAGCCAGACCAGAGACAGACCAGACACAGACCAGAGACAGACCAGAGACAGACCAGAGACAGACCAGAGAGCTGACCCTGTGGATATCAGTTTTATAGAAGTATTGATTTCCGACTGTCTCTGATGCAGCTGCTTTGAAGAATATCTTTCATTTTAAACTGATGGAAACACTTTCATCACTGCACCATATTTCAACAGGTCCTGAACCATCGGATGGACAGAACCATCCGGAAACAAATGCACAAACTGGAAGAATGAAAGATAGATATTGAGACCAGATTTATTCCAAAGTCACAGAGAGAGAAACTGTGTCTCGTTGTTTCATGGACTTTTTAAGTATAAAAGTATAACACCAAAGTAAAGCATTTCTTTCATCTCTCTGGTCTCGCTCTGTTTCTCTCTGGTCTCTCGCTCTGTTTCTCTCTGGTCTCTCTCTCTGGTCTCTCTCTGGTCTTTCTCTGGTCTCTCTCTGGTCTCTCTCTGGTCTCTCTCTGGTCTCGCTCTGTTTCTCTCTGGTCTCTCTCTCTGGTCTCTCTCTCTGCTTTCACTTTTTGGTCCTCTCTGGTCTCTCAAAGAAAAGTCAAAAAATGTGTGGTGTTGAAATTTTACAGACTGAAAACATATATCAGCTTGAGTAAGCGGTATTGTAGAGTAGAGTAGAGTAGAGTAGAGTAGAGTAGAGTAGAGTAGAGTAGGTTCATAAATGGCTTTGGCTGTAACAACAGACATGTAAATGAATAAACTCATGAATAACAAACGGAACCAAACATTTGAAAATGCATCAAAACCATCGGATTTTATCGCCACATAAAGC